TCATTATAATGAGATAGTATCTCATTATATTGAGATACTATCTGATTTTAATGAGATAGTATCTCATTATATTGAGATAGTTTTTTTTTTTTTTTTTTTTACAGAGTGGCGGAAACGGGCTTCCATAACTTTATAATCACAATCTTACTGACTGTATTACCAGTTAAATGATAAAGATCAGGGATCTCCAACTCCAGTCCTTGAGAGCTACTGGCTTGTAGTTTATGGTCTAGGTTAATTTTGAATTGGAAGGAAGAACACAGGATATATATACATATGTAATTAGCCTCCCTTTTCGATGATCCCAACAGCGACGGTGGAAGCATCAAGCTGTGGGGATTTTTCTTCATCCTATAGATTCTGGAAACAGCTTCAAGCTAGTTCTGTTATAATGGTTCACTTACATTTCAGACCCCAAATGTGCAAATATGAAAGCAGCTGTTCAGACGCTGCATCCAGCAGCGATGCACTTTAGCCCAATACTTTACACAGAGGTTGGATTTTTTTCTTTAACAAGATAATAGGAAAACAACCCTTTTTTTGCAGTGTATTAGTAATGGTAGGCAAAAACTGCAATAAAGTCACTGAAGGTGTCAGACATTTTCTGCCTCTAAGCTACTGTGTAGATATCTGTCCTAAGACCGATCCTCCTTTTTTTGTGTGAATTATTTGAACAAGTTATGTTTGATGCTTTGTGCATGAGGAGTAACTTGATCCTTTCTCTAGGCTTAGAAAGATTCACAATTCCAGTTTGAAATAATAGTTACTTCAGGGTGTAACAGATGGAACCTTCAAACAAAATGAGCAGCTCACGGTTTGCTGTATTCACAGTCTGCCAAAAATGGATGTCCTACTACATAAGAGTCCTAAATGAAAGCAGTGAATCTAACATGGATGGAGCACCTTCCTCATACAGACTGAGGCTCTAACAGGCAGCCTTCCTTAGTCTGCTCACCACACCACTGTCATATGAGCTATAGAAACTGAAAACCACAAAGAACAGAGCCATGGTTATGTGAGACTTACAGCTAGCTGTCTGAGTAAAAGTAGATTAACGTCATTCTGACTACTGAAACCAGCGTCAGCGCTGAGAAGAGACTTCTTCACAGTCACTGTCTGAGGAATTCCTGTCCTGCTACTTTGAATGACATGGATCCCTGTTTTGCCTTTTTGCTATTTTTGCTCCAGGAACTATTCTTTAAACGGATTAGTGCTTCGGCGCAGCGCTTTTTGTAATCCTTTTTTAGCAGGTTGTGATGATGCTCAAACATCAAAGCTGTGTTTTTGTTGTTTTTTTTTTCCAAACCTATAGAACAAAACAAAAATCCAATTTCTGAGAGAACGACGAATTAAAGATGGATCTAAGTGGCCGAAGTACTCTCTGAGTTAGAATCAAAGCATTGCAACTTTAAGCAATAAGTAATTAATAAAAATAAATTCCAAGCAAAAATTATCCTTCATTTGAAAGTAAAATAAAATAACAAAACCTGAATGATCAGACATTTTCTTTAATTTATATTCTAAGTATTTAGAACTGAAGACGTACTTTAAAATGTTAATCCTAAAAGTTCTGATAACTGCAGATTCACACTATGTCGCTTCGTTCACAACCCATCCAGGCCTTGAAGCTTCAAAGTTACTGGCATCAATCCGTCTTCTTTCCTCAGATCATATAAATCACCGCCTGCCAAACAAAAGCAAGGATTTCCTGTTCAACTTTATGTCAGTAGCAAGGCTTCGTTTCTCTGAGCTCAGTCCTGGTCCTCAAGTGACTCTGAGCTGCATGTTTTAGATTTCTCCTCGCTGCCACACACCTGACCTAAATGGAGGATTAAAAGACGTCTGCAGCCGTTAAAGGCTGCAAAGGCAGTCATGAAATTATTTGAAAAAAGTGTGCTGCAACAGAGAGACATCTGAAACATGCAGGGTGGTAATACTTGAGGAGCAGCTTAGTGAGCTACTGTTCTAGCTTAGTGACATACAGTAGTTCTGAATTCCTTTTTTTATTGTTTGTGTTATTAATCTTACAGCATAGGTGCTTTTTAAGCTAAAGCGGGTAATTGGTTGAAAAAAATAGGGTTCTGTTGAACTTTGTTCTTTTCTACCTGCTTTTTCAGTCTGCCAAGTTTTTATCCCAGTTGAGCGTAGCATAAACAATACATTTCCATTGTTCAAAAGAGAATGATCCCATGGGGAAGTCATATCCTCCTTGCAGATTCTTCTGCACCAGGGGGACAAAATGTGCTTTTTTTTTGTCAGCTAGAGAACAAAAATGTAAACTTCTTTGTTCAGCAGTTTTTTGTTCCCAGAGAAGAGGGTTAAACAAGGACATCCAGGGCCTCACTGCAACATCAGACGTCAGGTTGCATCTTCCTACTGAAAAAAAATAAAATCTTTAAATTTAAAGTCTCAGGTGTATGTTCTGTGGACTCTGTCTATAAAAAAATATGATATATATTAAATACAAAGGCTTTAATTCTTCTCTGTCTATGAAATTATCCGTTTACTACGGTCCCATCCTGCCAATGCAGGTTAGACCACTGCTTGATTTCAGAAATAAGGCTTAGATTTAGCCACTATACATTCCTCTGAGTTTATGATCAGTTTGGGGAGTGTTGGCTTAGTGGTTAGAACAGTGCATTTGTGCTCTGAGAAGGTTGCAAGTAACCGGTTTGATCCCCACAGCCTCCACTCTTGGTTCCTGAGCAAAACCCTTAACACACAGTGCTCCCCGGGCGCCACACAGTGGCAGCCTAATGCTCCCCACGGGGACGGGTTAAATGCAGAGAGTGAATTTCCCCATTGTGGGACAATAAAGGGATTAACTTTTTCTTCTTTTTTTTTTTTTTTTTTTTTTTACATTTTGTTGCTACAGATTTGTTATTTGTACAACCATGTGGGAAATATTTAATTCAACGGCACCAGAGATGCTCTACTGCCTTTGACTCAGGTAACTGTAGAGGCCATAGAGGGAAGGTGAGCAGAGGTACTCAGATAGGCTGTGCCATTAGTACCATCCTGAGGGGCCGAGAATATGGACCGCCATCACATTTCTGCCTAAATGATTAAATTATACAAGGAAGAATACATTCTATAAGAATCCTGCTGCTGAGATCAACCCTCCTTGGATCATTCACCATTTATTTTTCGAACAAAAAATCCAGATGCCTTTATGCAACTGTTGAATGAGTGTGTTTGTGTTAAAAGTCAAATAGCTGTTACTAATAAAGTGGTCGTTCAGCAGAGATGTCAAGTAACAAAGTGCAAATACTTCATTACTTTACTTAAGTAGAAATTTTGGCTATCTACACTTTACTGGAGTAATTATTAGATTAGATTAGATTCAACTTTATTGTCATTGTGCAGGTACAAGGCAACAAAATGCATTTTAGGTCTAACCAGAAGTGCAATAGCAGCAAGTGCAGGATAAATAATGGTTCTATAAATACAGGACATGGGTTCTACTGAAATTATAGAGATAAATTATTTTACTATTTAACTTTTTACTTTTGCTCCTTATATTTTTTGCAGTTATCTCTACTTTCTACTCCTTATTTTAAAAATACATTTGTTAGTTTTGTTTCATTTAAGCCCCTTTTTATTATGGGCTGTTGGTATTTAAAAAAACAAAAAGAAAAAACAGTCAACATAATTTCTTTCATCCACACAATAAAGTTTTATGTGGTTGGACTCGGTACTGCATCAACTTGTTTTTCTTTTCCTTTTGTTTTTCAACCTTCTTTATTGTCATTACACTGTCTAAAGTACAGAGGAACGAAATGAACTCTCTGCATTTAACCCATCCCCTTGGGGAGCTGTAGGCTGCCATTGTGCGGCACCCGGGGAGCAGGGTGGGCTTAAGGATCTTCGCTCAGGGACCCAGAGTGGCAGTGGGGCTTGAACTCAGAACCTCAGGACTCCCCTGTTCAACACATACCAAAATAAATAGTTATTTAAGATGATACAATGTTACAATTGTCACTTTTGCCATTAGTTACAAAACTAAGAAAATTAAGAATAAGGAAGTTATCATCCAGAATTGTGGAAAAATATTTGCTTAGTGCAGTAAAGCGTCTTTCCTTATCATTTTCCCACATGACATATACTTTAAGTACTTTAAAAATGTTACTTGTATGCTTTTACTTTAGTTATAAGCTTAAGTTGATTCTCTAGCTTCTACAGAAGTGTTTTTAAACAGTAAGATTTATACTTCTACCTTGGAAATAATCATTAATACTTTTGACACCTCTGGTGTTCACGGTATCTTAGATGAAAATTAAAACTTTTAAAAGTGTTTGATCAGAACAAATATGGAAAAAACAAGTTGTCAGTTTATAAGAAGCACCATAATGACACTCAAAAAAACAATATTTCTTGCAAATCTATTTAACAGTAAATTCTCATGTAGAAGTTTAAATGTGTGTTATTAAGAGTAAAACAAAAATGCTGTGTTAAGGCTGTGCTAATTTTATAATTTTTAGAAGGTCTGTTTTTTTATTTCCAGGAGAAAACTGATGCCCTCTACAGATGCAACAATGCCATAGCAGTCCTCCTAAAACTTGCCCTTGCAGGCAAGTTTGATCAAAGTGGGACTTCCTGGGATTAGGAAACCTTTTACAAGTTTCCTCTTGCATCACTTCCTGGCAGTAATTTCTACATAAAGGACAGTTCTCCTACTAAAGCAGGTATTGGCAAGAGAAAAAGGATTGAAAACCAAGAGCTGGTAAGTCAAAAAAGTCCTTCAAAACTTCCCTGTTAATAAAAAGGATTCTGTTTAAACTTCAAGGGAAAACAAATAGCAGTTTTTGGGTTAATGTTGGACTTAGAACTGAACTTTAAAACAATGGTGATGTAGGTTTATAGTGCAAAATAAACAGTGTTGATTTACTCATGGTTTATAGGAACAATGCCCCCATATACTAACCTCTTACATGTATGTGTTTGAAAGACTGTATTTTAAGTAAATTGCTTTTTCTTTACCTCTTGTTTACAGGAGCTGCTTGCCCAGAAGAATGCAGACCATTAAGTGTGTGTTGGTGGGTGATGGGGGCGTTGGTAAAACCTTTCTTCTCGTTGCTTATGCGACCAGCGTTTTTAAGGGAAAGTACCTTTCTGCACAGTTTGACAACTACACTGGTGACATAAGTGTGGATGGCCACACTGTCACCCTTAAACTGCTGGACACGGCAGGCCGTGAGGGGTATGAGCTCCTGCGTACCCTCTCCTATCCTCAAGCAGATATTTTCATTGTCTGCTTCTCTATTGGCAGCCCTTCCTCTTATGATAACATCAGGCTGAAGTGGAAACCTGAAGTGTCCCAACATTGCCCCAAAGTGCCAATCCTTCTGCTGGGCACCAAGAAGGACCTGAGGGGGGATGAAGAAACCGTGAAGATGTTAAAAGAGCAGGGTATGACCGTTTGTACCTATCAGCAGGGGGACATCCTGGCCAAGCAGATCAGAGCTGTTAAATACATGGAGTGTTCTGCTCTGCAGCAGGAAAACATCAGGGAGGTGTTTGAGGAAGCTGCCAGAGCCGTGTTGTTTCCGCAGAGTAAAAGAAATTGTAACAAGTGTGTGCTTCTGTAATAAATAGCTGCCTGATTTAGAAAAAAATATAAAAAAAAACAAAAAGGTGGTCAATCAACAGGTGAAAAGATGTCACTCCTCTTCTTAATCCGGAGGGATTGCAGCAAAAGGACTATTTAAAAATAAAAGCAACACAGTAAATCATCTTAATTTGTTTTTGGCTATTTAAATTAATAATACTGTACTATATATTTGACTTCTTTTTTCTGTATGTGGTATAACACCTAGCTTTTCGGATTTTGTTGTTCTCACTAATATGGGATTTATGTGGCTTTTTTTTTGACATAACAGTTTTTCTTGGACTTTAAACTTAACCTCTTAGCTCTTGTATACGTTTTACAAAAGAAATGGTGCTAGAAATTCCCCTTCAACTCGTTTACAAACTGCAACCAAAAACGTCAGTGTGGTTTACTAGAGTCATAAGTGATATGCTAACATCGTACAACGTAACAGTGTACAGAGAGATGGGAAGTTTTTATTTCTTTTTTTGTTGTAAATCTACAAATTTTAGCTTTTAGATCCTATCCAGATCCGTCTGACATCACTGCTGCCAAGCAAACATCAATGATGCGTATTCCATAATTAGATATAGTGACTTAATATCACAATGTTTTTTTTCTTATCACTGCTGCTTACCTTATCAAGGCTACACTTTAAAAAATGAAATTATCTAGAGAGCTGTTTGTAAATTAAATTTATTTTTGTTTATACTTGTGTATACAAAATGACAAAATAAATCTGTCTAAGTTTTATTCATGTATTTTGTACAATTTGCTTTATAAAACAAGCCAAAGTTCAATCAGATTGGATGGAGAGTCTGATCTTCCCATTCAGATTTACTTTGTGAGGACTGTGATCCTGTCAGTCCATCAAAGAGAGTTTGATCTAAACTGGTCTCAATTATGACCTGAAACTTGTGGATGTGTCCCTTGCTGTTCAAAAAGTCTATTTAAACTCTACTCAAATTGCTAAAACCCCTAATTAGCATACAGCCTGGTTCGTTAGATTCAGATAATAAACTAATCTTTCAGATTAGCATAGCTGGAAGTTGCTTCCCTGTTCCCTAAAAAAATGCATTTATCTTCCATCACGGTTTGTGGTTGGAAAATGGGCTTTATAAGATTAAAGTGTTATTGTTTTATCATGCACTATAGTTGAACTGTATTGTAAGGGAATCTGGAAATACTGGAACAATTTAGTCATGCTGAAGGTAAAAAGAATGAGTCACAACTTGATGTAGGATTTTAATCTACTGTATATCCTTTGGGAAATGTTTATGATTTGTTGAATTTGTACTTTTCAATTGCAGCATGTGGACACTAGATGGAAACAGCCCTCTAGCTCAGCCTCATGTGGTCCTGAATGAGAGGCATTTTTCAAAGCCTGTTATACATTTTTCCCTCATCTATAGACTTAATAGTCGAGTCAATGGTCTGTACCTTTTTAAGAGCCATTATTCAGCTAGGCAGACACCCACAAGTTGAATCCATTTGAGGCGCTTAAAAAGTCAGCATTCTGCTGCTTACTCAGAAATATTTCTTTGACCTTTATGGGTGGAGGCTCTGACAAATGACAGATGTGTTGAACTCTGCCAAGTGCTCATACAGTAATATGCTGTGGTGAGATTCAGGGTGCATATCCTGTGCGGTCTCTCTCTGAGCGGCGTACAATGAGGACAGCGCTGACAGTATGTTTACAGCTTGTAGAATTTGTCTGTTAGTGGGAAATAAATTGTTTTAGTGAACCCTGCCAAGTATTTGTTGTGAAAGCCTCCACTGTGGGCTGACTGAACTGAATAGAAAGTGAAAGGCTGAGACCTGCAATGTACTTAACAGTGTACTAATTTGTAATTCTGCTTTAAATGAGTTTTTGTCAATCTGCTCTGTTGTTCCCCCAGAAATGGTGCTGCAATGCAACCATAGAGGAGGAACTATCCAAGCAGTCATGCATTGCAGGAAGAAAAAAGAGCTACAGGAGCCAGATTGTTGTGGGATTTGTGTTTTTGTGCCATTCAGATTTGTTTAGACCAACAGGCTCAAAAGGGATCACTGGGTACTGCAAGTTGGAGCATTGATTGTCAAATGTACCGGTTGTAGGTTGTTTCATGACAATATTTGTGTTTCCTCTGCAATGTGCTGGATTCCTCATTCATTAATTTACATTTTGAAAGTGAGACTTTCCCCATATACTCCGACCTTTATGTCCAACATGACCTCTACATTAACGACACATTTGAACTCCTAATGATTTCTGTCTCTTTTAGTCAGTTGCGCTGCAAAGCCTCTAGTTCTAGAAAATGTGCAGCTGCTACTGTAAATTTAAATGGTAATGTTCTGAAAAATACATGACTTTTAGCTTATAATGTTAATAGTGATGTGAATGTCTTTTTTAATTTAAGCTGGTGAGCGATAGAGTCAGCTGAATGAATGAGACAATTTACATTTAGAACAATGAAAAACAACTTCTTTATCTTATTTCAAGTGCGCAATTTTTCATTATTTTAGTTTAAGGGTAAAAATAATCCTTCCATTAGCAGATCAACTTATTTACCTGCTCAAATTAAGGGCTAAATTAGATACACTGACTTTTAAGATGTATTTTTCTTGTTTTTTAAAATAATTTTTGCAGTATTTAGAATGGAATAGAAGAATAGACAATTCCTTTATTGTCCTGCAATGGGGAAATTGTGGTTTTGCAGCATCATTACATTAAAAGTGTTAAGAAAATAAAATAAATGTCAGAGTTAAAAAAATAAACAAAATAAATTACTGTACTTTACAGTGTTTTAACAAACATAAATACTGTACAGTCATCCGAAGAATAAATAATCCGTGTAAAAGCTGTGAGACATTTCTACAGTAGTGGATATGGGAAAATAGCAACACCAGAGATGTGCAAAAAAAGACAGCAGCACATTATTTAAGTGATCAAAACAAACTTCACAAATCAGCATGAATGTAACAACGTATTGAGGATATTGGTAACAGTGATGCTTATAGAGCCTTACAGCTGCTGGGAGGAAGGATCTGTGATAATGCTCCCTGGTGCAATAAAGGTGCAGCAGTCTGTCACTGAAGGAGCTCTCCAGTCCAGAAACAGCTTCATGCATGTGGTGGGAGACATTATCTTACAGAGATGTTATGACACCTAAAGAGGGATGGGAAGGGGGCTAAGCTACATCCAAGTGCTGAGAAAATTAGGCTATTACGAGATCTGAAGATCCAGCTAATTAGGGAAACCAAAATCTGTTGACAGTCATATTTGTTTCGTAAGTACAACAGGATGCTTTAGCCAGAGGTGGATCCTGGGATGATCAAATCCAAAGGTTAGTACTTTGGTCAACTGACTGGGTGGGGTGATAAATTCACCTAGAACTGCAAGCTGGATTGCCACAAGATCTCAGTTTTCAGTCTCACAGAAAATCCATCTTGAAAAACTCCCGCTAATCACTCCATTTCTTAACAAGCAGTGAGTCGAACCAATGACATGCCAGCAGTGTTTTTTGGAGTGACGACAGTCAGAAGGGCCTTGCAGGGGCATTACAAACATGGCTACACAGGAGGAATCAGCTGTCGATACCACAATCGACAATAGCGACAATTTCTCATTTAAAAAAGGAGCGAAGAGAAGCACTTTGTGCATTTGTAGATGGGAAAGATGTCTGAGCTTTTGTTCTGACACGATTTATCAGCTTACTCCGCTAGTTGTTAAAACACTCCAGAAGCTGCAGACAAATCCTACTGTGATGCTACGATTGGCTGAAAGCGTATTATGGAAGGTGAGTACTAGCTGGCATGACGTCCCTCTTTTCACGGACAGATTGATAACATAGAACTCAACCCATTTCTACACATATCAATCAGGCTACTGCAAGTTTTGTAAAAAAAATGGCTTAAAAGAGGAATTAAAAGCCCTTTGATTTTGTGTTGGCAAAGGTTGCAAACTGTTATATGGTCAAGTGTTGACGGGATGCTTTAACATTTAGTTAAGTCCAGATCAAGCTAGTGGACAACCTTCAGGATTCAGTGGTGACTTGCCAAACAAACTCAGAGCCATATAATCATAAATCATTCATAGGTGATTAGATAAGGAGCATGATGATGGGGACATTGCAGAAAGGATTCGGCCTAGATGTGATGATGGTGTTTAGAGTATAAGATTTGACACCCAAACAACCATAGCAATTTAAATGTATTCATATTGTCACAATTCAGCTGATCCTAGTTATCAAACAATGCAGTCAAGGTTAGTTTAATAATTAAAATGGCTTTAAAGTTGTTTGTCAAATGAACTTTAATGCATGAAAGCTTTGTCTGTTTAAGAAAAAATAAGTTACCTGAAAGTCAATCATGCCATCGACTTGGTCTTCTTATCATATTCCAGAAATGTACGTTAGTTATGCAGGCTTGTGATCTTAGCAGACTTTTAGGGCGGTTTTGGACCTGACAACCGACCATATTAAAACAAATCACAGACATGACATCCACATTCAAACCAACTTCCTTCCCACCTCACATAAATAATCACAGTTTAGTCATTTTTGCTGCTGCTTGTTTTCCTTTAAAGCAAAACCCCACTGCTCGGAGAACACAGAACAAATATCACACACTGCACTACTCCACGCTGACACAAATCTTTTGACTAACACTAGACGGATTAGTTTGTTGTTTACGGTTCACTTTGAGGGATGTAAATGTAGATGTTTTCACACAGAGTGGCATTGCAGCCTTTGCCTTTGAATGTCGGAGCTAGAGGTGAAATTCACAGAACTGTGCGGATGAGGGTACGCTGCATAGTCTTTCTGTGAATCATCTGCGTGGAGCGCGTGGGAGTGATGGCCTCCATTGGGACCTTGCTCTCAGCTCTTTCTCCCCTCCTCTTCTCCTCACTCGCACTGCCTGTTTGATAATGCTCTGGATAAAGCAAGAAGGGCCGGGCAGCACTCACTCAGTATAGAAACCACGGAGAGTCTTCTTCTCCTTTACTGTAAGATGAAACAGCTCCAATCTAATAGACAGCCTGCAGCCAGAGTGAGTCAGAGAAAGCTGAAGTTTGGCATTCCAATCAAACCGTTCCAGCCCAGAGAGAGGGAAAATGAGACTGCAAAGGAACAGTGAGGGGAGAGAAGGCTGATGGCTGTTTTTGTAACAAAACAGGGACTGCAAGCAAAGGAGAAAGTGTTATTCAAGGA